CACAAAATAACGAGAACCATTCATAGACACAGCGGGCGAAGGTCCCCAAATATCTGAGTGAACTAAGGAAAACGATGTATCCGCAATGGAAGTACTATGAGGAAATGACAAGGCAGGTTGTTTTCCCAACGAACAATCCACACAATGAAAAGACTCAAACTTGACAGAACCTAAACTACCCTGACTAATCAAAGACCTGACTTTATTGGAGGACGCATGACTGAGACAATGATGCCATTGAAGGCAGGATGGTGTAGAGGTGGTGGCAGCCGAGATAGAAGGACGAGGGACCTGGAGTGACGTAAGTTCAAATAAGCAGCCCGTCTTCCGGCCCTTTCCAAGAGTCCGCCCGGTTTGCGCGTCCTGAACCTGTACACCAGTAGAAGAAAAAATCACTGTTAGACCTTGATTAACTAATTGACCAACGGAGATCAGATTTAAGGTTAATTGAGGGATACAGTATGTGTTGGGGAGGGATAAAGATGAGGTGGATGTATGTCCGGTATGGGTGATGCGCATATGAGTACCATTTGTAGTAAGGATAGGAAGTAAGGATGGTGCGGTGGATGTGGAGGTCATAAGGCGTATATCAGAGGTCATATGATTACTGCAAGCAGAATCAAAATACCAAGGAGAGTTACCTGATGTGGTAGACATGGCGGTATTGGAAGATAGAACCTGTTTAAGAAGAGCTTCCAGGTCCTGAATCGTGGGAGGCGCAGGCGCAGGCGTGGCAGAGGCTGTGACAAAGGAGGTACCAGACTGAGGTCCACGAGGATGCAGAGGTTTGTAGTTACTACTGCCAGAGCGAGACGGCCTAGTGGGGCAGTACTGTATGGTATGACCTAAAACATGACAGTAGTGACACTCCACCTTTGGGCAATGACCGAAGTCATGATTAGAAGACTGACATCTTTTGCAGCGATTAGAATGATTCTGAGTAGGAGTCCGGGCGGTGACCGCAAGAGCAGAATCAAGCTGAGGAGCCTTAACTAGGTGTAGATGAGTTTCCTCAAACAAAATCTCCTGAATAGCTGCATCCAAGGTAGGAAGTGGATGCCGTTGTAACAAAGAGGCACGAACTGCCTCATACTCTGGATGCAAAGCCATCAAGACCTGAATGAGGCGAAGATGATCAGGACTGATCTCTGCTTGATCCAACCGATGCCAAAGGGGTTGCACTTGGGCAAGGAAGTCGTTGATAGATTGTTCTGGTTCCTGTTTTAAATCATGGAGAATGCTCCATAACTGATAATAGTGTGCCAAGCCAGTAGCATGGAAGCGGACTGCCAAGAAATCCCACGCTGCCTTTGCAGTATGAAATTGAGCAAGCTGAACATGGATCGCCGGAGTGGAAGTATTGCGCAACCAAGTGAGAATTTGATGGTTCTTACTATCCCAATCCTCCAATTTTTCAATATAGGATTCAACAACTGTGGCGGTAGGCGTAACTTCTCCTATTGAAACTGGAGCAATGGGAGCAACTATATCTCCCGTAACAATTCGCCACAATTTCCGACCTATCAAAAAACTTTTCATCGATTGTGCCCACAAACTGTAATTATCTCCGGACAGAACAACATTGATGGAATATAGACATCCATCTTTTCTATAGAAATTCAAGAGAAGACAATATCTCAAACTTCAACCCAAAAGCCGAAACGACAGAAACACAAGAAAACCGAATCGAACCCGAAACTCGAAAAGTCAACTAGATACAAAAAACTGCTCAAACGGAAGAAGTGAAGATACCATCGCGGAGGAAATCAAATTCCGAACACGACGGTGAAAAGATCACCGCCAACGGCCGCCGCACGCGCCTCCACGCGCCGGCGAGGAGTCCGGCCGGAAAACTCGTCAGGCGCGTGTGAGGCTCACGCGCCGCCGTTCGCCGAACTGTGCCGGTGTCCGGCCGGTCTCGTGGTGGCGAAGACGATGGTGGTGGCGGTGACGGTCGGAGGTGGTCGGAAATATGCTATCTGAAATGCGTGGGTTGTTTCGATTTGGTCGGGAAAAGGCATGGCTCTGATACTAAGTTACGATTAATGGAATAAACTCTATTTTCGTTAATTCACAAATTAGGGTACAATATTATATTTATACAAGAGATATATTAGGTAGGATATATATATATATAGATATATACAATATATATATTAACACTCCTTTTTCTGGATTCTGATCCATTATCCGGTGTCACTGCGAAAGCATCGGGATTGCCTCCAGATTACTGCCATTAGAAATTGTGCTATTTGTTCTTCAAGCGAATGGGAATCTAAGGCTCGATTACAAATTCTAGCCCACCATTTGTTCCTCGGTGTGCTTGTGATTGCGTGCTCAGATGGGGCCAGTAAATTGTTAGGCTGCTTGAGGATGTTCAAGATCTAAGGTTGTTTTGGTTAGTTATATATGGTTTATTTCTTTCGGAAAATCCTATAAATATCACTGCATGCCAATGTTCTTGACTGATTGGGTTTGTGCATTTTTGCGGGATTGGGCACGAGAGAAAAAGATGGAGTGAGGATTGATAGGACTGGTGAGATCTAAGTTATATAAAATCAAATTCATTAGTAATTCCATAGATGAGAACAAACTTCCAGTTATCGCCAATTTTCTGCATGAAAGAACACCATTTGTGTTTGAGAATGCATTTAAGACGCATGTATTTCATTCATGCATACTTGCGTGTTTGTGTTAAGGGATAAGAAGGCTTTTAGTTTCATCTATTGTTTAATCTTTGATGCTTCCATGGTTACAGTTAATTCCTTTTGCAACATCTAATCATTTGAAGAGAGTTTATATGATATGCTAAGAGGTTTCTCAAACTATTTGTAGACCATTTTTAACTCATACCTCTATTTTTGCACAGACTATTATAAATTTCTTTCATTTTTGCAGGAGGTGATACAATATACCATCTCTAACGATACAATTAGAGTAATTCATCTCCAATCACACCTTCTATTTTTTCATGGTCAAATAATATTCTCTCTATATTATATATATATATATATATTATAATTTTTAAAGTTTATAAATAATATTAAATATTTTATTATTTTTATATATTTAATTTTAAAATTATTTTAAATATTTTTAATAAATTAAATTAATTTTTATTATCATTTGATCTAAGAAATAATAAATATTTTTAAATTAAATAAATTAAAATATTAATATTATTAAATAATATTTATGCAAAATAGAAAAAAAAATAATATTATTTAATTAAATATAATAAATACCATATAAAAATAATATTAATTATAAAGTTAAAATATAAATATAAAAAATAATTTACTTTATAAATAATAAAATAAAATCATAAAAAATAAAATAGATAAACTAAAATACAATTTTAAAATAATTTTTAATTAATTTTTAAATTAAAATAAAATTAAGAATTTTGCTTCACCATCTCATTAGAGAGGGTGACAACCCCAAACTTGTAAGGTGGATTGGAGAACTATTTTTGTAGGGTGGGTTGGAAATAGTCTTAGGGCGCTTTTTTTATTTGTATAGTTGTAGTGCAATTTTTCCAGTAAATTGAATATATTTGCTTAAATAAAAATATAGCATCAATAATATAAAAGAGATGTGCCTTGAGTGTTGTTTATTGGGTTCCCCTTGTTGCTTTGTAGACTTTATTACTAATTGTAATGCTATATTACGAGCCACAAGTCCTGGTTGATTTAGTATTTCTGGTGGCAATTAGTTTTGTAACTTTCTCTTTTCATAATATTTTTTTTTTTTTTTTTTGGTCTTTCCTAATACTTTTTAAATTGAGAAGTTTATCTTTCATAAATATTTTTGTCTTTCCTAATACTTTTTAAATTGAGAAGTTTATTTATCTGGCATTTTGGTTGTGACCTCTGCATCCTTGTTATTTTAAAATACACTCGCCCTTAAAAAAGATTGCTTCTTGTACTGTGGTGGCAATTATCATGTAACAAAATTTCAAAGCAAAAATTAAGACTGGGGAACCAGCTTGTAACCTAAGTTAATATCAATGCTTTACAGGAGCTCCTCATTTGCCACATGGTCCACATTTATCTCTTATTATGGAAGCCAACAACAACCGCTGTTAAAATATATTTAGAAGCAATATATTATATTTATAGTAGTTATCTTATTTAAGAGATTCGTGAGATTTTTGTCTTATTTAGACGATTTATATATCACTATAAATATGTACGTATTCTTATGATTGGAATAGAGAATTTCAGTTTCATATTCTAATATGGTATCAGAGTCAAATTCTCTCCCGGTACCTCCATAATACGTTATATCCCGTATATATTTTTATATTTTATTAATATATTTGCTTCTAGCCATGATCATGCTATTATTTTCATGTCGTCTCCGTCTCTACTACTCCACTGACATAGTCTACTTTCGATTCTAACGCCGTTGAGAGTTCTGTTTTCGAATCTAACTCTATTGAGAGCAAGGGAGTCCTGTTTCTGACTCTAGTTCTATTGTGAGTGAGCGAGTCCTGTTTCCGACTCTAGCTCTATAGAGTGAGCGAGTTTTGTTTTCGGCTCTAATTCCGTTGTGAGCGAGCGAGTCCTGTTTCCAACTCTAACGGTGTTGAGAGTTCTGCTTCTGACTCATCCATTGGACGGCTACAACACATTAAGTCAATCTTGGCGAATTCAAATTCGTACGTGGAAGATCTCAGTTATATCTTTTTCGGTCACTTCTAACAAACTCAAGTTTGTTCCATCGTATTTTGAGTTTGAGGAGGGGCGTTAAAATATATTTAGAAGCAATATATTATATTTATGGTAGTTATCTTATTTAAGAGATTCGTGGGATTTTTGTCTTATTTAGACTATTTATATATCACTATAAATATGTACGTATTCTTATGATTGAAATAGAGAATTTCAGTTTCATATTCTAATAACCGCCAACAAAATGCCCTCTATGCCATTACGAAAACTTGAATGTAGATGTAGGTGTTTAAGCTGATGAGTAATAGTACAGTGGCATAGTCCATGGAGAGTGAGAAGGTTTTGTTGTTGATGAAAATCGACGTCAGGTTGCATACAATAGTCTATATGCGGTGAAATCTTATTGCACTCTTTGTATGATGCATTTGCCATTCTTTCTCAGATGAAGTTTAAGGGAAAGGAAAATTGACAATACGTGCATGTGAGGCCAAGCATTTTGCTTTCATATTTGTAATGTGTTGAAATTTACAATTAGGAATGTTAAAGATGCAAAGAGTTCTAATCTCAATAACAGAAAATTCGATGGCATAGTTGTGCGCATAAATGTTACAACTATGTATACTCCATTTGTTTCTAAGTAAACTTATGGGAAACTGAAAATATATTTTAGTTGATTAAAAGAGTTTAGTGTGACTACAATTCATAGGTACAGCTAATTTGACGGGTAATAATGATGTTGCTATTCGCTTACTTATTGATCGCATCCGCAAGGAATTCGCCATAAAGGACCTTGGCAAGCTTGGTTATTTTCTTGGTCTGGAAGTCACATATCCATCATCGGGTCTCTTCCTCAGCCAGTCCAAGTATGCTCGTGACATTCTAATCCGAGCAGAATTGCTCGACTCCAAGCCTGTTGCTACTTGTTTGGCGTTTGGCGCTTCTTTCACTGCTGCTGGTGAGCCCTTCTCTGATCAACATCTTTACCGCTCTCTTGTTGGGGCGCTACAGTAATTAACTATTACTCGCCCAGACATCGCCTACACTGTTAGTACTGTTAGTCAGTTCCAACAAAACCCCAAGGTGGATCATTTTCAAGCAGTCAAGCGCATTCTTCGATATATTAAAGGAACCATATCCCATGGTCTTTTGTTCTCACCCGGTGATGATACTTTGCTTGGCTATTCTGATGTGGATTGGGCTAGGTGTATTGACACACGACGGTCCACTTATGGATATTCTATTTTTATTGGTTCAAATCTTGTTTCTTGGAGTGCGAAGAAACAACCTACTGTTTCTCGCTCCAGCTGTGAATCAGAATATCGAGCAATGGCAAGCGCTGCTTCGAAGATGGTTTGGGTTTCGAATCTTCTTCGTGATCTCCATTCTCTTCCCAAATTTCCGCCTATGCTTCTAAGTGATAACAAGAGCGCACTATTTTTGTATCAAAATTTTGTTTCTCACAAGCGTGCCAAACACATAGACATTGACTGTCATTTCATACGGGAGTTGATCGAAAGTGGCAAGCTTAAAACTCAGTTCGTGCCTTTTTATCTTCAACTCGCCGATGTCTTCACAAAGAGCTTGGCTCGTGCGCAACTAGAGTACTTCAGGTCCAAGCTTCGCGTGCTCACAAATCCCACGCTTTGCTTGCGGGGGGGGTGAAGATAAATATAGCCAGGATACTTAGTATTATTGTAAAATAATTTAGATCCGTTAATTACGCTTCATCACTTGTATATATGTATCTGTAATCTTTATGGCTAAGGAATTAAGGAAGAATATTTCTTTTACATCTACCAACTGTCTTCTCCACCATCACTTTGAATTTTGTGAACACCTCAAATTCCTCGAATTTCTCTTTCAAAAAATAAATCCAAGTTTTTCGTGAGAAATCATCAATAAAGGAAATGAAGTATCTTTTGCCACTGAAAAATTCGGGGCTGATTGGTCCACATATATCGGTATGAATCAACTCGAGAGGAAATTTAGCTCGATATTCCGCCTTCTTTTTAAATGATGTCCTTGCTTGCTTTTCAAAAACACGTTATTGCAAAATTTTCCAGCATAATCCATATCCGGAAATCCGTGCACCATATTCTTATTTGTTAGCTCTTTTAGACCACTATGGTGTAGGTGACCAAAACAAAGTGGCGCATTGTCTTCTATTTTGACAAACACCTTTCTTGCATGATTTTCAAATTCTATTTGTACATCCGATTTCTTCCCATCTCAACTCGAGCAATCACATTCCCTTTTTTGTCCTTCAAGAATAGCACCCGATCTTTGAAATGTATTGAGTAGCCTTTTTCCGTGAGTTGCGCCATGCTTAGAATGTTGGTCTTAAGATCTAGTACATAATAAACATCATAATAAACATCTTGGATTGACCCAATTAAGCCATCATTTTGTAGGTAACGAACCGTACCTCGTCATTTGACCTCCACTTTAGATGTATCTCCAACGATACGTAACCATCTTCAATTTTTTGCATCTCCTTGAATCGGTGTTTGTATCGGCACATGTGGTTGCTCGCCCCCAAGTCGAGGTACCACAAAGTGTCATTGTTGATGTTGCCTTCTTTTTGAGCCATCAACAGAAAGCTTTCTTTTTCTTCATCTTCCACGGCTAGGTTGGTTGTTTCTTTTATCCTTTTATGGCTCCACAATATTTTGCAAAATGACCCACTCTACCACAATTAGAAAAACATTTATCAAAATTGCAATATTTTGCGTAATGACACTTGTAGGACTCAAAGTTATAATTGTTCGATCGGCCGTCTGTTTATCGACCACGCCCTCTGTCCTGCCAATTCGGTTGGCTAGATTGTCTCTCTTCATGACTGTTGCCTCGACCACCATGACCACTTCAACAAACTCCATGTCTACGCCCTCTTCCTTAAAAATTTTGAGAATATAGTACCTCATCTTCTTTAAGTGATGCCTTGGTTTGAAGCGCTTGCTCAAGTGTCTCCTCCTTCTATTTCTTCCTGCGTTGTTTGTGTGCCTCGAGAGAACCAGCAAGTTCATCTACCATGAATTTCGCAAGGTCTTTTGACTCTTCAATCGCACACACAATATTCTCAAAATTATCGGTTAATGATCTTAAGATTTTTTCAACAACTTGCGTATCGGTTAAATTTTCTCCATTTCGAACAAGCTGGTGTACCACGGATTGCACATGAGTAATATAGTCGGATACACTTTCAAACTCCTTCATCTTCATCCTTTCCAATTTTCCACGAAGAGTTTGGAGGCGCACTTGCTTGACAAAGTCGGCTCATTTGAATGTTCTTTCTAAAATTTCCCACGCTTCTTTAGAAGTTGTTGCACCAGCAATCTTCTCAAAGTCCGACTTATCAACAGATTGGAACAAGTACAACGCATCCTTATCCTTTGATCGTGTCTCTTTCAACGCCTTCCATTGAGCCGCTGTATATCCGGCCGTATTCGCCAGTCCTTCGAAATCATGAACTATCACCCATGCATCTTGAGATCCAAGAAGTGTTTTCATTTAATACTCCAATTCTTATCATTTGCCTTCATCAAACGTCGTAAAGACATTTGACCCATCACATTTTCCATCGGCTATGATACCAATTTGTAAAATATCGAATATGAAGACAAACACACACAAATGCAAACACAAGACTATGGAAGCAAAACACACAAATACAAAGTAAAAACATTAACGCATGAAGACAAAATAATTGCTTGGGTAATAATTTTCACTTTTTTACTCTTCTCTCAAATACATAGGATACTTCACAAATTAAAATCACAATTAATCGTAGCATAAATAGCATTATTCTAGTGTAATATCTATCCTTTGATACCCACTATTCTAGTAAAACTTCCATGCATTATATGTATTTTAATACCCACTAACCACACAATTTAACATCCAATTCAACACCAAATTAAATTGCATTTAAGTTCATTCAACGACCACTAGGCTGTCACAAGTGGCTGGTTCATTAGGCTCTCACGACCCCTATCCAATGACATTTTTTTGACACAAATACAAGTTGGAGTTTATTTTGCCAAACTGTATTTGGAGAAGAAAATCCAGAATTGGAGAAAATTGGAAGGGGGGTTGTCAGAAATTGCAGAGCACTTCCTTTACAAATTACTGTTATAGGAGGACTACTTGCAAAATATAGCATGAAGAAAGAATATTGGGAATCGGTTGCTGAAAATGTAGGTACCTTTGGCAATGCAAGTGATGGCGAGCATTGTTTGGATATATTACTCTTGAGTTATAATAATATCCCTATATATCACAAGCCATGTTTCCTCTATATGATAGCTTTCCATGAAGATGCTGAAATTAATGTCCACAATCTAATCCAATTGTGGGTTGGTGAAGGTTTCATAACAATAAAAGAAGATAAAAGTTTGGAAGAACTTGCAAAGAAATACTTGAAAGATCTTATTGATAGAAATCTACTGTTTGTGCGTGAGAGAGACGAAGGTACAGGAGAATTAGAAACATGCGGCATCCATGATCTTCTTCTAGACCTATGCATTAATCAAAGAAGAAGAAAGGAGAAATCTCATAACACTTGATGCTAGTCCTCTATCAGCTTCATATGGTAATCCTCTTCTTTGTGCTGATTGTGAAGTTACTTATTCACATATGAAGGGACTAAGATTGGTAAAGGTCATGGATGAAGTTGGTGTAGCTCATGATTCACTTGTGCAGCATACTAAATTACGTTGTGTCTATATTTCATTGTATAACCCCCCAAAGTTTATATCTCCTCCAATGCTACCATTTCTATTGAACCTTCAGAGTCTGTTCTTCCCAGATTCACCTTTGGTAGTTTTACCATCTGAAATCTGGGAGCTGCCACAACTTAGAGTTATTGAATTCAAAAGTGTGGTTTTGCCGAAGCCTCCTAATGCTCATGTCGAAGAGAAGGATTTCTTTATTGTGAAGAATCTGCAAAGCCTTGGCTGTGCAAGGAATTTTGAGCTCAACGATGAGATACTCTGTGGAATCCCTAATTTGAAGGAACTTGATGTTAATTATAATAAGCATATGAGAAAGTCGGATACTTGTTTGTGTAATCTTGCCAGATTGGAGAAACTTGAAACACTAATAGTTGAAAATACATTGCAGAACATTGGCTTTTCAAATTCGCTCAAAGTGTTGGGTCTGAAGAGATGCAGAATTCCTTGGAGTGGTATGCCAATGGTTGGTTCATTACCCAATCTTGAAATTCTGGTGTTGGGGTATACTGCCGAAGGCACTGAGTGGAATCCAACTGAAGGAGAATTTCTTTGATTAAAAGCGTTGTGGATTATTGGTAGTGATTTAGTACATTGGAGAGCTGATCCATACCAATATCATGTGCTTCGGATGCTTTCACTGTCTAACTTACGTTCATTGGAAGAAATCCCTTCAGGTGTTGGAGATATACCAACACTTCGTAAAATTGAATTACATAGTTGCAGTAAGTCAGCTACGGATTCGGCATACCAAATATTAGAGGAGCAACAGAGTGGGGGAAATGATGTCCTCGAGACTGATGTCTCTTCTGAAGATGAAGATGAGGACACAGATGAAGATGACGAGTTTGACGATGAAGATGAAGATGAGGACACAGATGAAGATGACGAGTTTGACGATGAAGATGAAGATGAAGATGAAGAAAAAGACAGGGACGCAGATGAAGATGAAGATGAAGGTGAAAATGAAGATGACATTTCTGAAGGCAAAGATGAAGATGATAAGTCTGTCTGATGGCCCTATGGACAGTAGAAGAAGCGGTGACGATGAGGATGATGGTATGTATGTAAGGTACTTTTGAGGACTATCATAATTGTCTTGTGTCTACAAACTTGCTTAATCGGTTTCAGGATTTAATTTGGGATATTAGAATACAAGTGTTGAAGGAAGATTTTGAGAAATTTTTCAGTGATATGCAGTCCAAGTTTCAGAGGTTTAGTAAAAGGGAGAAAAGTTGCTTCCTGATTGGTAACCATTTTCATTGTAATAAGGGGTCGTTTTGATTGGCTTAATAAAATAAGTACTCCGTCAGTCCCAAACAAGGTGCAACATTTACTTTTGGTACGGTTTTTTTAAGTGGGTAGTATTAAGTAGGATAATTTAGAAATTAGATGATGTGACGGAGAGAGAAATATATATTTTATTTTTTTATTTGGATGATTAAGTATAATTAATTATTTTCTATTTTGGAAATATTGAAAGGTGTTTAAGACATACCAAAAAGAAAATGTTTGGGACATAGGGGAATAAAAGCCAAAAGCGAAGTACACGTCAAAAGTAGAAGCAGTTTCATTTTGTATTTGAATGAATCATTATAAAAGCAGTTTTTGATCAAAAAAAATATAATAGAGTTGAAAATGCTTGCTAAAATTACTCAAAAAGACATACTATGAATATACTTGTAATTTTCTATAAAAATTATATATATTTTTTAAAAAAAATTTAATTATATTTAAATATTTTAAATAAAAGTATAGAAAATATATTTTAAAAATTTAAGTATTTATATTTTAAAATTTTAATTTTAAAAAATGTATAAATTAAAAATAAAATTACAATATAATAGGAGTATTAAATTACTCGTATTTTTCAATTTATTTTTTAAAAATTTGTAACTTATATTTAATAATTTTAGTAAAATTAAAAAAATT